GTACTGATTTCCGTTGCTCAAGAAGACAAAAGCAGGCCGCTGGTATTGAACCTGCTAATGAACGCGACAGATACTTACAATGTTGCCACAAAAGAGCCTTAATCATTTTCAATTATGATAAACTATCATTTCAGCTGAATTATGGCGCACATCCTTCAAGGCTAACAAGGTGCAGGACGTGGTCGAGGTTGCCCATTAGTCTCTGTGTCAACACATTTTACAAAGAGATATGAGCCATGCAGATGAAAGGGAGCATTTGTAGCCGTCCAATTCTTAAATATTCTTTTATCCCTCTTCAACTGTGTGCATTTGTCTTGTGCTTTCTTTTACTGAGTTGAAGTTTTCATTTATGACACTGCACTCTGCAGTGTGAGAAGTTAAGGAAATACATATAGTGATAATGACTACTACTGACATGCAGTAGGACTGATTAGCAGTATTACCACTAACATCTCTACCAGTGCTACTAATACTCAGAATTTCTTTCAAATAACAACACAACCAACTGTGTGGAATTGGTCTCTGATTTAGTGTGACACACTCACATCCTCTGTGAGTTAACAATAAAGGGCAGGCATGACAAACATTCAGTACTGTATATAAGGACATTAAACATGAACATTGGGCAGCCTTTAAACACATACAATTACTGATGATCTTCCATATACAATAGTCATAGATTGTTTAATTGTGTTGATTAGTTGCAGCCAAAACAGTGCCCACAAAATGGTATCTCATTTTTTATGTTTTTGTCATCCGTCACACGTATATGATCAAGTTTACCCACCATCAAAATGTTAATACATTTCAATTTAAGCACGGCCACTATGAACAAACAGGGTTTTGATTGCCCCACATACAAAGCCTGTCATTAGTAATGCGTGTCTTCATAACACCAGGCTCATTTGCATGTGTGAGGAGGTCTGGGCTTATTGAGCTGATCGGGGCTGCTGTTATTAAATGTGGAAGTGGGGGAGAGGAAACAGAATGGAGGTCTTTTCTCTGATGGTTGGCTCTTCAGTGAGCTCTGGAGACGCTTTAGCTCTACACTGCTCACACACCTGGAGCTAATGCGTTTCTCATAGCCATTGAATATCACAGGGCAAATGAGGCCTGACATTCTACAACCAATTCTCCATTTTATTCACCCTTTACCAATCAGGTCATTCCTCTGGCTCCAGTTAAATGTCCTCAATATGTCACTAGCATGCATGGAAGCTTCCACTGCCACAACCTTTGGCTTATGCTTGCAGATAATGGATTTCTAATGTATTGTGCGGTCATAAATTGAAATTGATAGTAATAAATATATCCTGCATTATGTCAAATGTCTGATAGGTTTACCGTGCACAATATTCTAACAAAAAATAAGAATGTTTAAGTAAATTGTTTTTGTGTTTTTTTGTGCGTCTCAAATGAAAATGTAAATTTTTCAGTTATATACTCTTGCAATTTCTTTTGATTTACCTCTGCTATCACCAATGATGGAATGTAATGAAATACAAGTAATAATGAAAAAAGTAGTAAAAACACATCTGTACTTTACTTTTACTTCACTACATCTGAGTAAAATCTGACTAAAAGTATTTTTAAACATATATAGACCTGCTGAAAAGGCTGAGCCAAACCAAATATACTGTATATAAGTAAAAACAGCTAGAAAAAAAAAATGATTCCATTGTTTTTGTTCAAAAAATCAAAAACAATTTTGTATCAACATCTCTACATTTGAAGCTTTATTAGATCTAAAAATCTACTATCATTTTTACATTTTTTTTATTTATTTTTTGCTCCGGTATCTATACTTTCATTTAAGTAACAAAATCAAATACTCCTTCCACCACATTATCTCTGCATCTCACATCAGTTTGCCAGATATTCAGTGAAGGTTTAGATCCATCTGGGTGGATTCCAAAGACTTGCCCACTCTTCCAAATATACACCATCACATCGTTCCCATTATGAGTGTTAAAAGATGCGTGTTTATTGGTGGAGGCTGAGTTTGCGCTACATGTGCCAGGTGGGGTGTGTGTGAATGGCAGGTTGGCAGGTGAGAAGAGAGATGTGTTAAAAAACAGTGTGAGAATGACGCAGATGGGCTGAGGAGAGGTGAGTGGGACGATGGAACAGTGAAAATCAGCCTAGGTGCAACATCTCAGGATCTTCACTTCCACAATTCACCCACTCTATATCAATGGAGCCTGTGATTTAAATACCATTGGGTCTATGATGTAACTAAGACTAACCCACATATAAATGGCCGCTCCACTTACTCACAGTAAGCTAACAAGATAGCATAACACGTTTTCTGTTTTTAAATTCTTCCATTGTGACGTTAATGTGTTTACTGGGGAGTATGTATTAGGCATTAAAGTGTATGGAGTGAGCCCACCACCTGCTAGTTCCTTGCATGGGCCCTCATATTGAAGGTCTGTTTCACGTCTGTCCTGGCCCGGAGCGGGGTGAGACCAGACACCCCTCTGCAGTCAGGACGCTCAGCCAAATGTGTCTGTGGTGAGCAGAAGTCTGGCTCCTGTCCACCTGAACATGGCTGCCCATCTGTTTCCATCCCAGTGATCACATCTGACCCATATCTGAGCTCCCTGCTACATACTGATAGTCAAACAATTCACTTTCACAATCAGAAGGTTTTTGTTCACTTTTAGGAGTCATGTTGTATTACTCAGTGTTTCACAGTTATTACAATAATTATATTTATGGAAAATATATATATACAGTTAGAGATCAGATTTTTAGATGTATTTGTGACACTTAGATAACATGATTAACCTTAATAAAGCATGAACAAAGACTAAATTCATAACAAATAGTTTATTAAGAATGATTCATTCAGCTTAATTAACACCATGGCCCTATAAGCCTGAATCATTCTTAAAAATTACTAAAATTACTATTTGTTCATTATAACTACAGTTTTTGTTCATTCTTTATTAAGGCTAATTAAGGTTTAATCATTATGAAGTGGTAGCGATCAATCTACTTGGCTATCCGATTAAAGTTATTACACTAAACTTAATAATATTATTTAACACTACTTAACACCTGTCTTTTTTCACAACAAGTTTCGTTCATGTTTATTTCATATTCTGATGATAATTATTGGCAGAAATTACAGTTACAGCAGGGCTACTATTCTACTCTAATCATTGTGAGTATAATAGTGCTGATCAATCCACATCATTTCAACAATAATAATAAGGCTCTGTTGAATTACTGCCACCTCTCTCATAATATTAACTGAGGCCTTGAAAACTCAACTCAACTTATTTCTGGAGCACTTTAAAAATGTGACCAAGTGCTGTACACAAATGAACAAAACACATAACAAACAGTGACAAATGATGAATAGTCAACCCTCAAAGTGAGGTAAAAGCAAAGGAGAAGAAGCAAGTATTTAGGAGTAAATTAAAAACAGGGATTGAGTCGGAAAGCCTCATGTGTAGAGAAAGCTGATGTCAGAGCCTTGTTTTCTCATCTTTGGGACATGGAGAAGAGCCTGATCTCCTGACCTGAGTGCACAAGGGGGGTGTGAGGTACACTCAGATTGGACCGTTACTGAGGAGCTAGACCATTTAAAAACAAATAAAATGATTTTAAAATCAATACAAAGCCGCACAAGGAGCCAGTGAAGAGATGGGGAATATGTGGTCAAATTACATCATCCAGTTAAAAGCTGGACTAGATGTAAACAGGAGTTAAAAGAGTTAATTTACGCGTCAAGTTTAAAAACAGGATGTACCCACAGTATTGTTTGACTTCTTCTATTTTGTGTGTAAAGATAGCAAATAATGTGTGTTTTTATGTCCCATTTACCCTGCTGTATAATTCATGGCTGAGTGAAAATGGACTGAAGCGTAGAGTGTGCGTGTGTGTATGAGTGCATGTAGTAGGATAACAGGATGAGCGTTCTGTGGTTGAGATGAAACAGACAAGAGTACGCCTTTGAAATGCAAAGAGCAGTGATCCCATTGGCTTCTATGTACGAGAAGGATAGTTTTTACCTTCAAATTTCTTCATAATGCTCAAACTACACACACACACGTGCAAATGTAATTAAGAATAGGATAAGAGTATTATTTTATTTAATTTGGCTGCTTGTGTGTATGCAGAGCACATCACCGCTCTAGAGGATTGTGGCCAGTGTTGTGCAATGAGTGTAATGGTGGCTTATTCAGACACACAGTTAGGAATGGTGGAGCCCAGGGACCAATTTATTTACATGCAGTGGAGAGAGGAGCAGCGGGTTGGGGATGAAAAAAAGAGGAAGAGGGAACAGCGGAATTACAGAGAAAACCCAAAGGAATAAGTCACTTCCTCAGCACATCCCAGCGACAAGCCCAATTTAAGTGCCTTAGTCTGATGTTTACTGATATAGGTCATATATTCATTCAGGAAGCTTAATACTTTAGGCTTCGATCCTATGGTTTATCATGTTTATCATAGTAAATTATACTTATTGTTTTGTGTTTTTCCTTGTTTTATTGTTTCATATAGATGAAATAGATCAGACCACAATGGGACATGTGTCATTCTTCTGAATAGGTGCAGGTTATCCTCCTCATTTGGTTTATGTTCTTAAAGGTGCAACATGTAACTTTTCTGGTGGAGGATCTGCCACCACATAAGATCTGTGGAGAAACGACTTCACTCACAATAATGATTCATGTTTTAGAGGTATTTTGGACTTGGGAAACACTCTACATGATGAAATAATTGTTAAACACTTTTAATGCCATACTGTGGAACACTCCAGGCAAGGTACAAATATCTCCATGGAGACAAGTAGGTGGCAGACACAAAAGCACCTACTGTGAATGAAAAAAAGTTGAGTCATGTATCTTTTTGAGTGACTTCAGTTTGACCTCTTTCTTCGTACTTAGGCCAGTGTCCATGATACATCTGCTCAGATCCACTGTTGCAGGCTCCAGCTGAAGTAGATGAATGAAACAATAACCTTTTGTTGTTTTCTTGTGTTACAGGCAAGATGCCACTGACCTCTCCGGACCAATACAAAGGTAATGGAAATCATTCTTCATTTTTTTTTTCACCTCAAACTTTTTCTTCTTATGGTTCAAAACATGCAGCATATCTTCTTCTCGCTGTAGGCCATTCACAAACTTTGTGTTTTGGTTTCTCGTACAAAAGCATGGAAGATGTAGGGTGGACAAAGGCGGCAGAAGAAATGGGGAAATGGGTGAAGGGGAAGAGATGAGGGGGGGCTGTGACAGGGCTCAGATCTGGAGCCAAGACGGGTCATTAAACTAAAGCCCTCAGCGACAGAACAACACATCAAGCAGGAGAGGGGGGAGAGGCTTTAAATAAGAAGAAATCTGAAATAGTACCACCTATTTCTCATCTGAGGCACAGATAACAGAAGGACCAATCTGTGAGCAGTCGTCTTTGCCCCACGGCCCCTCTCTCTAATACTCACACAGACAAGGCAGTCTCCCATCTCCTTCATTATGTCTCATTACTACATTTTTTTTTAATCATACAATCACAAATATCTTCTTCTGCATTATAACAAACCATTAACAAACATTACCGTTTCTATGAAAAGATTCAACTATCTCATAAAACGGATAGCAAATGAAATGCCCTAATAATAAATTGCCTCATTAACATTTATGACCTCCATAATGCAGGCATTAGCTCAGATTATTAAATATTTCTTATTTTAAATTTAGAACAGTCTGGATGAGATCAGTCATCTCTTCAACCCAGCCAAAGGGAATTGCAAGTTTAAATTGTTGTTAAGTGTCCTAGATATGAAGGGCATCTGACATAAAACTAACAAATAAACAAAAAAGTATACAGGGTTATTCTGGTATACAATACAAATACACAGAAAGGGGAAAACCTGGTTCCTCTTTGGTGAATTTAGATAATTAAAATCCAACATATTATAATAAATTGGATAATTTTGGATGTTTGAGCATTGCACTCTTGCCATATTGATTTTGTGGTCCAAAGCTGTCATTAAGCTTCAAAAACAGATATGTAAGTGGCCTATTAGGCATTTTGACACAGTTTCTACTCCATACAGAACAATCCTATAACCAAAAAACAAAACGCATCAGTGTGATGAATGGCCTGTTGAAGAGGAGCCTTTGCCACTATTTCATTATACAGTGAAATGAACTGCATCTAATGGGAAGTAAGACCTCCATTAAATCTTATAGTGTAATATAGTAAAAGGATATCATCAAAACCACTGTTATGCCATTATATATAAGGCTCTGTCAGTTACAGGTGTAAAATCTAAGAAAAGTTGGCAGTATTTTCAATTTGTTGGCCCTAGACAATAGAAATTGGACATCTCATTTTATCTTTAGCTTCCAAAGATAAAAAGCATGGGAACAGACATTATAATCACTGCTATTAGTGAGATTGTGCAGAATTTTTACAAGACCTTCCTCAACTTGTCATTGTTTTTCTTTTGCTACACCTGACTCTTTTTACTGGCACACACAGCAGGTAAATCAGCTCAGATCAAAAGAAAAACACAGCGAAGCATGAGACGCCAGGAGAGATAAGACAAGGAAAAAAACGCCTGGGATATGGGTGAAAAAAATAAGTTGATGAGAGTAGTTGTGAATAATTAGGCAAAATAGTTTAGCTTTTGTTTTTCTCTCTGATTGGGGAAAATATGCAAAGGCTGTGTCTGCCGCTTGGGCACACACAGATAGTAATCCGCCACACAACACAAAAACGGTATTTGTGACATTTGTTGACGCGCCCCCAGAAAAAAAGAGAGAGAAATCGAGAACTGGGTTTATAATTTGATTCAGTGTTCTCCTTCTTTAATGAAGCTCTCTGGGGGCTTGACTGACACCCCAGTCCTGAGTGGTGTGTTTGGGGCTAGTAGGAAGTAGAGCTACTAAGGGGAGGAAAAACACGACTTGTGTGTTCCATGGGTGAAACAGAGTAAAAGCCAAGATAGCTGTAATGTATTTGCTGTAGTTTGATTCACCCCTGTGCTAACCAAGAACCAGACATTTTTCTAAACCACTCAGTGCACATTATATCATATTTCATTTCTTACACCTGCCCATGTTATTCTGCAATCAATATGGCGTTAAACTAAAGAAAGAATGTATAGCAAAAGAAAAATTCAATTCTGAAGAAAGGATACTTTTATCACATTACATCTACAAACAAGTGCAAGCTACAAAGCCATTTCTCAAAACATGTATTGGCTTGTTTACAAGATATTATGTGTACCATAACTGCAGAAGTAAACATACAGGATACAAATGGACTGAAAGCAAAGGGGGCAATCAAGGCAACTCTGCGCAGAGGAAGACTTGAGCCGGAATGGTGTGATGAAGGGTGTGAAGTGAGCCTCAGTGCACATGTAATTGCAGGTCTTTGTGTCGATAATGTGCTTTGAAAGTGCACAGCTGATAATTAGCAAGCATGGCTCTACAGATGCCTTTCACTATTGGTCATTATGAAGCACAAACCTACTATTGGCTCTGACATGACCTCCCGAGACACAGAGGATGCCACACATGTGCGCACTAACCTCGTACAAAGATACATAAATTGGCTCAAATAAGCATTGATTAGTGTCTGAATAGAATCGGCGCAGCAGTGGAACAGATACAAAAGCTTCTCTAAAGGCCTCAAGTTCCTTTTTTGGCACTGGCACTTCCAGGTGTGTGTATGCGGGTGTACTTCCTGTTTACCAAGCTCGGCACACACCATGGCAAAGACTATAATTATGGAGACTCAATGTGATACTCGGGTACAGTGTGTCTGCTTGACAACAGCAGTCCCCAGCCACAGCTCCTGCTAATCGGGCTGTTTCTGGCCTTCCCTCCTCTTCCCAGCTTTTCACTTGGAAATATTTATGAGCACAACAGGCTTGCAGCAGGCACAAGACAACAACTGGAGTATTCTTCCCCCACAGTGATGACAGCTATTAGTGTTTAAGGCCTCTTTCTGGCCTCTAATTTATCCCCAAGTGCAAAAAATATCCGGGAAGTGTACAAAAAAATACTTCTGGTCAGCTCAACAGGCTAAAATGTTACTGACGTCTGCAATAGAATGCTGAGCTATGCATTTTACGCTGCAACCATGTAACTGCCCAGAGGACAGAAGAACCAATAGGCCAAAATATTGACTTCCATGAGTTAGGCCACATTAGGTCACGATAACAAATTTTGACTTGCGATATATTGCGGAAATAAATATAGACCATAAACAATAATACTGACACTCAAGAGTAGCTTTAAACCACAAAAGCTATAATAAATCTACAATTTATATATATATTATATATATTATTGCACAATGGCATTCATATTGAACAATAAGTTGATAACAGGCCCACCATCGTTCAGTACTCATCTACTAATCTACTAATCAAATACAGAATAGACGTGTTTGTGTTGTTTCAATGTTTTGCAAAGGCTTCAAATTAATATACTCATTCTATACACAAAATAGTCATAGCTGTAGTAATGTAGCTATTGCAAAAGTCTCATATAAATAAGCCTTTGTTTGACCTGGCATTAGGTGAGAACTGAAATTAGTTCTGCTGGTGTCATGCTCGCTGTTCATTCATTTTTTATGCACACATATAAATAATGAAGCAGCGCTAATGATGGAGGGTGTGAGGAGGTGTGGGGGGTGATGGACTGCCCATGGAGAGTTCGATGGACATTTAGACTCTTTCTTAACCCTGGTCCTCATGTTAGGTCTGCCTGTCTCTTAGGAACAAGGTTTACACATTCCTTACATGGACATGCTCAACAGCAGCCAGAAAGGGAACTTGGGTGAGTCATAGAATTGAGCTTGGACATTTATAGATTTGAAAATATGTCTACTATTTTAGTTCATGAAAAAATGTAAAAGCATTCTAAGTAGCAATGATCGGCATAATGTTTAAACATGTGTTTTGTTTTTCATGTATTTCTAGTTTGATTAGTGGAATAATACTTGTGGTAAATATAAATAAATAATAAATAAATACATAAATAAATAATAATAGATTTTTTAAAGAAAAGTAGCATATTACAAAGAGAATAGGAAATTGTTTTGTTTTGTTTTTTAGTTCTAAACAAAATATGGATGTGGAATTGGATGGGGAGAGAAATTACATAAAAGTCAGACAGTCAAACACATCCCTCTGGCAGTTTACACAATTTACCTTTTGTCTAATAATGTATTAATAACTATTACGCAAATTATACAGACGTTTGTCCTGTACAGTTTTTTTGCTTGTTGTGTTTTATTATGTAAGTATAATGGCAAGGTAACAAAGTAGTTTTAATGTACTGAAAAATAGGTAACATTTATGTATGCTGATGTTCTGGTACAGAATGATGCATGGAGATATTTACATTTTACATTTGTTTTGATGGTCCACACAATAAAGTGCAATCATAGTGCATCTATTATGTTGTGCTGTCCTCATAAATGAATAAGAACCCCCTCCATTATATTGCATTTTATTCAGTTCCTCTACACATGCATGAGCACATCCACATTGTCACTGTCCATTGTCACTGTCCATTGTCCAGAATCAGTGTTGATATAGAAAAAATGCATTTTCCAAATACTTCCACACTGCGCAAGCACTAACACACATACACATCTCTCCTCTATGCCTCAGGGTGCTGTGGGATGGCAGTCTGTTCTCATCCAGCTGATGCTCCAGGAGGGGGGTGTGGGTGCAGGCATTGTGAAGCCTAGTGTGGAGTTTTCATGTCATAGTGAGGATTATTATTGTACTGGCAATTATGTTTATTGTCCTTTTATCAAGTCTGTGAACACAATTGTACACTGATGCATTGTGTTTGCTGCTGTTTTTTTCTTATAATAATGAATTAATTCTATAGATAACAAAACAACTTGTCTCTGATCACATTTCATTCTTAAAACAGTGTATTAAAATAGAAAAGTTCATTTTATATTGGTCTTAACTTCATATTGTACTCACCTGACAAAATCTAACAACATCGTGTCACATGATACGAAAAAGTCAATAGATATCTCCAGTGATTGG